GTGGAATTGGAGCACTTGAGTTGGAGGAAGATGCTCTAGTCCTTTTTTGTGCCATGGTTAACTTTTTTCTTGGACTTGGGGGTTGGAATTTTGGACTTGGGACTTGGGGGAGTGAAAAATTCAGACTCTTGAGAATTGGGTGTTTTTGAGGGTGTGGAGGTGTAGAGAATGATGTGGGGAAGAAGAAATGAGGTTAGGTTTGGGTTAATTTGAGAAAAAATCGGACCCTTGAGGATTTTGGGATAGGTTTTTCGGATTTGGGGATTTTGGGGTATGTGGTGGTTTTTGTGGGTGTAGAAATGGAGAGGATGATGTGGGGAGGAAGATTATGGAGTTTATTTGGAATTTTGGTGGATGATTGGGATGGATTTGGAGCTTTGGAATTTTGGCTATGGAGGTTTGGGAAGGGTTTACTTGTGAGTAGGGAAGAAGTTGGGAGGTTTGGAGCTGATTTGGGGAAGAAATCCCGTCAAAAAGTTGTTTTTCGCACAAATACCCGGCCGGGTTTTTCGTAATACCCGAATGGGTATTCGAATTTTTTGTAGGCAGAATGTTTTTAGCCTTATACCCGGTCGGGTTTTTGTAATACCCGGTCGGGTATTAGGCTATTTTATGCCTTTCGTTTATTTGTTATGCCCGGCCGGTTTTTGGTCGATACCCGAATGGGTAAGCCCGACAGTAGCTCCCAGGGGTGAAAAAATGTTAAAAACCGGGTATTCCAATTTTGTGCTGTTACCCGACCGGGTGTGGGATATACCCGGACGGGTTTTCCTCCCAGATTTTTTTTTGAAAAAAAATAATTAACACATACAACTGAAAATGGGAATAATTAAAATAAAAATTTGGGTTGCCTCCCAAGAAGCGCTTGATTTAATGTTGTGGCACGACGTTATTTTTATTTTATTTTCTGTTTTAAGTGGGATCATGAGCATCCCTTGTTTCATTTTCAAAGGCCATGTTTGGCCATGTTTCAGCTTTCTTCTTCGACCTTTTCCAGTAAGGCTGAATTTTCTTCTTCGTCACCACCTCAAGTGTCGGTGGTTTTAACTCGCACTGAGGCGACTTTTCAAATTCTTCTCCTTTCAAAATAGGTTTTTTTGGCTCAATTTTTATTTCATTAAAAATTGAGATTTTTTTTGTTTCCTCTCCAACAAAAATATTTAGTGTTAGTGGTGGTTCAAAAACATTTAAAGAACAAAGAGATTGATCTTTAATTTGTTTTTCGGTAGAATCAAAGATGTTGAATTCTACTTTTTGATCATCAAATTCTATTGTTAATGAACCACTAGACACATCAATTTTTGTTTTAGCGGTTTTTAAGAAGGGTCTTCCCAAAAGAATGGGTGTAGTTTGGTTATCATCTCCCATTTCCAGAACATAAAAATCAACAGGGAAAATCAAATTTTCTACTTCCACTAGCACATCTTCTACTACACCCTTCGGGTAAGTATTAGACCGATCCGCTAGTTGAATCACTACACCAGTTTGATGTAGTGGGCCGAGTTGTAAGAATTTATATAATAAATAAGGAATGACATTTATTGATTCTCCTAAATCCAACAAGGCCTTAGAAAATAAGGTATTCCCTATTTTGCAAGGAATAGTGAACATGCCTGGATCGCTACATTTCTTAGGGAGTTTCTTTTGAAAAATGGCCGAGACACGTTCACTAACTTCAACCTTTTGTTTCGCTTCCAGTTTATTTTTCTTTTTCATTGTGCATAGTTCCTTTAAGAACTTTGCATAACGGGGAACACTTGATTAGTTTGAAGAGTGGGATGTTTACCTCAGAATTGACGAAGGTCTCGTAGATGTCTCGATCATTCTTCAGCTTCCTCGTGTCTTTCAATGCTTCAGGGAATGGAGGGAGTGGTTCATATGATGACAATGGATGGAATTTAGTTTCCGTTGGCTCCTCCTCTTCCGGTTGAAAACCTTCTCCAAGATCAACCTCTTGCTTCTCCTCCTTATCTTCCCGTGCTTGCAATTCTTTACCGCTCCTCAACATGATTACATTGACATGTTGTCTTGGGTTTTGCTCAGTTTGGGAAGGGAGCCTACCCGAATCTTTTGCCTCGAGTCGACTTACGACACTCGAAATTTGGCTAACTTGAGTTTCCAAATTTTGAATGCTCGACTTGGTTTCATGTTGGAATTGCATCATGGTTTGTTGGAATTGCCCCATGCTTTGCTGCATTGTTCCCATATTATCGGTCAATGCTCGAATCATGTCTTCGGTGGACATACTCGAGTTCGATGGTTGACCTTGTTGTTTATATTGTGGAGGAGGAGGATTTGTTTGAGAATTTCCGTACCTTAAATTCGGATGATCCCTCCATCCCAGGTTGTAAGTATTGCCTTGAGGATCGTACCTCCTTTGACCTTGCAACCCCAAAGCATTGACTTGCTCGGAGTTCTCTTCTTGTAGCGTTGGGCAGGAATCAGTGGGATGCCCCTGTGTTGAACATATGCCGCAGACCTTGGCTTCTTGGGTTTTCGGATTTAAGAGAAAATCTTTTACCAAAGAAGTCAAGCCGGCCACTTGACTTTCTAACGAATTACTGGATTCCGCTGCCATGACTCGTTTTGATGATGACCTCCCGTTGTAATGTCTCGAGTTTTCGGCCAACTCCGAAATGAGGTCTCTTGCTTGAGAAGGGGTTTTGTTAACAATACCCCCTCCGCATGCCGCATTTACCATGCGTCTATCTTGATCAACAAGATCATCATAGAAGTAGAGGATGAGATCTTGTTCCGAATACCCATGATATGGGCAACTAGCACATAATTTTTTAAAGCGCTCCCAATATTCGTACAAGGTTTCATTATCTCCTTGCTCAATGTTGCCGATTTGCTTCTTGAGACTTGAAGAGATAGATGCGGGATAGTACCTGTCAAGGAAACTCTTTTTCATTTGAGCCCATGTATTGATGCTCCCCGAGGGAAGATAGAATAGCCAATCTTTGGTGGTATCTTTGAGGGAGAATGGGAAGGCTCTCAGCTTGATTTTCTCCTCGGACACGCCATTGGGGCACATGCTTGTACACACAATATGGAACTCTGACAAGTGTTTGTTCAGATCTTCCCCTCGTAGACCGTGGAAAGAGGGAAGTAGATGAATGAGCCCAGATTTTAGCTCGAATGCGACCCCCGTATCAAGAGTTGGAAAAGTGATACATAAGGGTTGTTGATTTAGATTCGGAGCCGTGAGCTCCCTCAACGTTCTTGTTTCAAGAGCCATAGTGATTGGCTCTTCGGTGTCGCTAGAATGAGAACTAGCACTTGATGATTCCTCCGAAGAAGTATTCGGAAATAAATTCCTAAACCTCTCGAAGGCTTGTTCTGTTTCGGGCTTTGTTTGGTAGGTGATTTGGTTTATAGATCGGTGTTTAACCATATACTCAAATAAAGCTCAGAAGAATAGAAATCTAAGAACTCTTTATATTTTATTTATTTAATTTTTTTTTTCTTGAAATAGAATAAAAAGAAAAATTAATTGCCTTTCCCCGGCAACGACGCCAAATTTGACGAGCACTTTGTCGTAGTGTGCCTCAAATTAAATTCACTACTAAGTGCTAATACCGTAGTATAGCGTAGTAGAGTTCGTATCCACAGGGAAAGGAGCTTTTCACGTATGTGTAAGCGTAATAAATAAAAGTAAACGGAAGGGGGAATTGGATATTTTGATAATTGAGAAAGCAAATAAAATACTTAAATGAGTGAAATAAAATATCAAAGGTAATTAGTCTTGGTTTTGCTTTTATCCACTTAATGAAATGGTCATCGATCCCGGTTATATCTTTAACTATCTTCCTCTCGAATACTCAATCGAGGAGTATATCTAGTTCATCGAGGGTAGTTATTAATAACGAGACGCGTTCATTAATAAAACTTACTACCGCATTAATATAGAACACGCGCCATATATTTACTTGATAGTAGCAATAAATTCAAGATGAAAACGATTGAAATTGATAACCTCAACACAAGCGGTTTATTGGTTTAATAAATATAATTAACTCCCCTTAGATTATTAACCATGAGACGCATGCATTAATAATCCAAGTTTACTACCGTGAAAAGATCGAACGATTAACAAGCGTATTCGTCCATCGATTCTAGTAATAATTAATATATGAGACAAAACTAGTTGATCCTTTAAGTAATGATCAAAATATTAAAATGAAATATGAATAGGAATTAATTAATATTCAAGGAAGAATATTAAAGAAAATAACTCACAACTTACCATTCATTAAGCTTCAAAGTAGCAAAACCAAGATGGAAAGACTACCTAAATTACAAGAATAAAGTGTATATGAAAGAAGGGATTAAATCAGTATCTAAAATGGGAAGGAAAGAGGTGTTTTTATAGGAGAAGTGAGGTGGTTGGGTCTAAGACATAATCTGATTTTCCCATGTTCACTTGTTTTATTTGATCTCTTATGATCTCCGGGTCGAATCATATCCGATTTTTCACACATCTTTGTCCTCCATGAAGCTTCCTCTTGTCTCCAATGCCCCTTCCTTATGCTCCCAAGCTCCTTCCTCTTCTTTTCATCATGTTTTTGCTTACATGTCAAAATATCTTAATATCTTTTAATTCTTATTTAATTTTAGAAGATAAAGATTACACCGTAATTGTACAAAAGCTAAGTAAACATAATGTAAAACCATTCTAAAATGTGGTGTTTATGTACTTCTAAATAGTACGCATCGTGAAGGTAATAAGGGTGAGGTCTTTGTGACACTTCAATCTGAAAATCAGAGGTGGATGTTTCTACAGAAAGGAGTTCCTTACGGCAATCAAGATTGTTATATGGTGTTTTGAACTTAAGATTATTTATTTTCAGCATGCTAAAATTTTGTCTATTCGTTTTGAACTTTTTATATGTTTGTTTGATCTAAAATTATGTAGATTGTTATCTTTTACAAACATCTCGTGTTATCGTTGGTATATCATGTGTTTACCATTTGTTTTAATGTGCATTGGAATTCAGTACTTTACTTGTGTAGAATGAATGTTGAAGTTAGACGGTCATGTCTAATTATTGCATTAGAAGAGCTGAGATCATTACTAGAAGATGATGAACAAAAGAAGACCATGATACCAATGAGAGTATGTGGAGAAACGGGAGGTGAATATATACATAGAATGTTGAGTGGTCATCCTGGATTGTGTAAAGAGCAATTAAGGTTGACACGAGAAATGATCATCCACCTTGTGAATATTATGGTTGAAAGAAATTTATTGAAAGACAGCAGGTTCATTCATGTGGCATAGCAAATTGGAATTGGTCTCTATATATTGGCCAAGGGAGCTTCTTACACAAATGCAGCTGATGTTTTTAAGCATTCTTTGAGAACTAATTGCAAATATTTCAATCTAGTATTGCATGCCTTGGTTGAGTTATCTTTTGACATAATTTGACCACATCACAATTTGTTGGACGTCCACACCGTAGTTCGTAACAGTTCCTTATATTGACTGTATTTCAAGGTATACTTATGAATTATTCAACGTTTTTAAAAGTCAATGAAAACTAATATATTTTTGTATATGTGTTATGTTAGTCCCTGTTTTCTATAACAGCAATATAATATGGCATACAGATGAAAGATTAACAACAAAGATGAACACAGAAAGATCAAGCGTAAACCTTCTCTGATATACCGTGAACAGTTCGTACAAGAATGATAAGCGCTAAGGCTATTTTGAGCAGATACGAAAGTTAACCGCAAACCTGAGTCCTCCGCCCTCTTTTATAGGCGAGGCTCAGGTATGCGTAAAATAGGCCTTCTCGCCTAAGTATGGGCCTAACACTTGGCCCATATCGAATACTATTCTAACAGATATTATTAATCAGTTCAGAACAGGAATAGTAAACATCTAAATTATTACAGACAAAACAGACAAACTTGATTCACAATAACATAGTCTTCAACAATCTCCCCCTTTGTGATCAAGTGCCGTCTTGCATTTATTTTTGAGATCTGAAGTAATGCTTTCTGAAATTTAGCGCATGCTCATACTGTCTCAGCATTCTTCTCTTTTCAAGTTGCTCGTTGATGGGCTTTAGGATGGTCCACACTTTCTCATATATTATGAGCTCTTCCTCGCTGGCGTCCGCAAGTCTTGGATCTATATTCTCATTGATCTCCTGCAGCTTAGTCTGGATGATCTTCAGAGTCCCATCACAATACTTGTGAATGTCTTCTACCCACATGAGTCTTTTCTGTTCCTCGTGATTGAGATATATGATAGAGACTGGGTCCTTGAAGATATGATATGGTCTGTACTTTTTGAGCTCTGGACCGTACAGAGTTGGCTTTACCAGATTTGCTTTTCTGACATTGTTTTCCAGGGCCATCTGTAGATCATGGGCAGCATAGAATCTGATCTGTCTCAGCATAAATCGTTTGATCGCCTCATAACCTTCTTCGTGTGTCCTGTTTCGATTCAGTGAGAGATACCTACTTACCATGAACATTTGGTAGATATCCTCCATCTTCATCATTATAAAATCATTTTCTTGGCAGATGAATATGCTGGAGTCTGTTCGTCGAACTTTGAAGCTGTAGAACGGGATGGTGTGATGATCTTCTCTGTGCACATCAAGGATAGCGTCAATAGGGTGGATGCTGGACTTCATGTCTCTTTCAAGTATTTGTCGTTGTTTTCCAGATGATCTGTGCATCAGCATGTGAAGATGTCCGCCAGCCAGTTTGCCCTTAAGGTGAGTCAAGCCACGGATCTTCAGTTCATCGAGCTGTTTGAGCTTGTCTGCGCTTCTCCAAATTCCCTTTCTGATTTCCTCTTGGAAGGGGGCATTTATTCTGATGTTTTCCCAGAGCTTTTCTTTTGGGGGCATCTTGCCTGCCGTTTGTCTGATGACGAATTCTAGCTCCATGGGTATCTTTTTGTAGTCCTCCCCTTCTTGGAGTTCCTCTTCATCAAGGCGTATGATATCTTCTACGCATTTGGCCAGCAACTCTCTCAGCCACCAATTTCGCTGCATATCCTCTGTTTCAGCTTCGCATCTAAGATCATCCCACTCTGTCCACTTTCTCGGCCAAATGTCGTGTATCACAGCATCCTCGAGTGCATCATGAATGTCTTTGCCTTGGGGAATGAATGGGACTCTCAGCTGCGATGATCTTTCGTGTGAAGCACAACCGGGTTCACTAGGATTGCCCGTTGTCATCAGCTTAGAACTGAGTTCTGGCTGATGGTCTGACTTGACAGATGAATCAGAGATAGCATCGTCAGGACTTCCATCCCCTCCTCGGACGGTATCCTTTTGAGACACGCCTCGGGATGTTGTCATCGATTTTGAACTGTGTTCTGATCGATGACCTGAGCTTTGTGATGTACCAGGGGTAACCACTAAAGGACTTCCATCCCCTCCTCGGACAGTATCTCTAGGAGATAAGCCTCATGATGTTTCATCTAGCTCGACCAGGCTAGAGAGTTGGGCTTGGTTGTGGCTCGAGGAAGGTGGTGGTTGGTTGGTGGGCTGGTTTGATGAGGTGTTTGGCTGGGGTTCATGGCTGGTAGAGGCTGCTTGCTCAAGTGTCCGAGGTCTCTTGTTCTCCCCCTCATGAGGTTCCGAATCATCGGGATCCTCATGGGAACGTTTGAGGCCTCGGGGACTATCACGGCAAGTGCCGTATTGAGGGCGGTCGTGGTTGAAGAAAACTTGGAGAAGGTCACGCTCGAAGGGTGTAAGGTTGCAAGCGTCGACCTCCAGTAACCGAAGAAACAGGAGATCGGCGAGCTCAAGACGGGATAGGTGGAAGGGATTGGTCGAGGTAGGGGGCGATACTAGTTCTGTATCGTGGGTTCCCCGAGAGGGTGAAGGGCTAAGGGATTTGGTGGAGGTGACAGGGATGACAGGAGTGGGTTGAGGAATGGATTGAGAGGGTGAAGAGTGAGGTTTGGGTTGGCTCTGTTCACTATGAACCGCTGGGGTTGTCTTGGAGTCCTGTGCCCAAGCGGTGAATGCTTGTTGCACCCATGGTTTGATGGTGGACTTCATGTAGCGATTCATGAGAACGGTAACGTCTTCGGGTGTAAGGGGTCCAGTTACGGGGGTTGTAACTGTTGTCACAGCATCAGAGAAGAGAGCTGATGTGTGGCCTGCGTGCAATGATGAAGTCATTGTTGGCGTAGCAGGGCTTCCGATCGTCATCGTTTGCACTCCGGTCGTTGCATTCAGGGCGTGTGCACCTGTATGTGCTGTGAATGGTGTAGGTGTCCTAGAAAAATTGGAAAATGTGGGGAATGTGACACCTAAACTCGATGTGTGGAAAAAGGGGGTTGTGGCCTCGGGCGGTGGGCCACTAGAGCGCTCAACTGGTTCGGAGGGAACCAGTGAGGCGGGTGAGTCCCGTGTTGTTGAAACGTTAGCCTTTTGGGAGGCTAACGAGTGGCTGGGAGAGGGCGGTGCACGCGCAGTTGAGCCTGATGCTGCGGCTTCTACCCGGGAACCAAAAAGATTGGCCCCTGTACTTAAAGATTCGGCCCGGGTTATAGTGATGAAGGGAAGACAGTCGTCAAAGATGTGTAGGTCCTCCTCAGCGACCAAACTTTTTCTGACAGGACGCTGCTTCTTTGCCTTAGGTGAACGGGGAGCAGCAATCTTAGCTGTAACTGGCTCCTTCACTTGTTTGATGATGATAGTCTTGGGGCGGACAGCTATAAATGGAGCTGCATCCTCAGGGGTGATTTTCTTTGGAGGAGAATCAAGTGGCAGCTTCCCCTTTTGGATTAGAGCAAAGGTGTGCTCCACGTCGTCAATATCGTCGTCGTCATCATCATCGTTAGCATCGTCATCATCTTTGGCCACGCTATTGGATGCCTCATCGTCAGCCTTTTTATGGGCCGGGCTGGACGATTCATTGGCAGGTTCCGCAGCGTTTGTACATGTGCCCTCAGCCGTCTGATTCCTCTCGAGAGAATCGTCAGACTTCCCTTCATGGGGCACACGCGCCACTGGTTTCTGTGGCTTACGGGCTTTCTTTGGACCCTTACTTGCTCTCGGCTTAGGCCCCGGGGCAGGTCCAGCTGGGTTTGGCTGAACCATGGGGCCATCTCTCTGTAAGCTTTCTCTATACTGGACAACTGCGGAGTGTCGTGGATTGCCCAAGTCCAGCAGATAGTCTGGTATTGCCATCCCCACAGTGTCATGTTTGAAGCGCTTGAAGTACTGGAGCTTGGGGGCAGTGTACTGATCTTCATCTCTGCGCTTTGGAATCCCTGGGTGTGCGGTCATATATTCATCAATGATGAGCGCCAACCATCTGGCGTAGGGAATCGTCATGCCCGTTTTTCCGTCCTCTTTGTCCTGGACTTGAGTCACCAGCTCGATCCAGAATAGCTGCGCCATGTCATAATTTTTGTTGAAAACGATCCCATGGAAGATTTGGAAAATCTGCAAGTTGCATTTGTCATGGCCAGCGTGCTTTGGAGATAGGCACTTGTTGACGAGGCCAAACAATGTCTTCCATGGGTATGGCAGGTTCATCAACTTGAAGTGAGACAGGAACGGCAGTGGTGCATCATATCCCAATTTCTCCAACCCTTGCATCAGTTCAGTCTTTGAGGGAAGCAGATCATAAGATTGGTGGACAGGCTGCTCCAGAGTGGTTCTTAGTGTGGACGACGTTAATGCCAACCTTCTGTTGTGGAGCGTGGCACTGATACTAGATGCGTCCTTCTTGGAGGGCATGTGCATGGTCCCCCATAACTGTTGCAGATAGATTTCGGGGACCGTTATAGCTTTGGTGAGTGTCGGCCAGATGTAGTGCCCCTTAAGAATGATAGGGATAACTGGGTCAGGGCACTTGAAGACGGCAAGGTCGAGCTGGTAGTTGTTGTCCTGTAGCCGAACCCACTTGTATTTGGGGAATAGCTGAGTATAGAGTGCATCCTCCTGGGAGGTATCTTGTTGAGTGCCTGACATATTTAGCTGAAAAAATAGCACACGTTAGCAAAAGAATGAGTTTCCCCTTGAGTTCTGGCACCAAGTTATAAAACTCGAGATCATGGACACGAGTTTACAAGCTCGAGGCCATGAGCGCGAGTTTACAAACTCGAGCCCATGAACACGAGTTGACAAACTCGAGGCCATGAGCGCGAGTTTACAAACTCAAGCCCATGAACACGAGTTGACAAACTCGAGGTCATGAGCGCGAGTTTACAAACTCGAGCCCATGAGCGCGAGTTTACAAACTCGAGGCCATGGATGCGAGTTTACAAACTCGAGCCCATGAACGCGAGTTTACAAACTCGAGCCCATGGACGCGAGTTTACAAACTCGAGCCCATGAACGCGAGTTTGCAAACTCGAGCTCATGAGTGCGAGTTTACAAACTCGCGATCTGCCCTCGAATTTGAAATGCCGGAAATGAAACCAAGCGTTTTAACTCGAGTTGCAGAAGCTCGTGTTTTCCCCAAAGAAGAAGATATCCACCTGCAAAGACATAAAATCAAAATACATTCAACCAAAACCCCTTTTAG